GGAGAAACGCATTTTCTGTACAAGGTGATATGTTTCCGAATGATATCACCGAGTATGTGGGGAACACTGTAGGACAACGACTAGCTTTTACATCCCACATATACGATTCTGATCGTTTTGGAAGAATTGTTATTGCTGTCAGATAGCACAAATTTCGGCAGAACCTGCAGAAGCGTGTTCAATCGATTACGACCATCGAATCATAACCTGCCTGCAGGCATCGACAAGTCTCTTCTTTGTACCCACAGAACGCTCCCTCGAATCACCAGTCTCTCACCCCAATCTATGACTTCTGGCTTCATCATTTGAACCCGGAAGTGTGCTATATGTGAGGATAAGGCTATGCATTTTCAATGTGGGCTCGGGAGTCGGGACCAGCTTGTAGTGCTACCGTATGGTTACCGTCGACTATTAATCACAGAAACTTTCGTTCGCGCGCTGCATATAGTGCCATACCCCACTTGGCGATGCAGACGGTCATGGACCTCCTGCTACACACCATCTCAGAGACTCGGCATGATCACTTGGAAGGATGGATTTTTCCATAGTGCATGAGCACATTTTCTGAATGTATTAGAAGCTGACGAGCGAGGATGCCTTCCTGTAAGTAAAGGTACGAGAGCCTTGAATTGAAATAACTTCAGATGTATGGTACCTTTCGAGACAAAATCAAGGCGCGCGAAAGTTTCGAGTACTTGCTGGAACTGTATTGTTGAGAGCGTGTTTGTAAAGTACGTTGGAAGGTTGTAGAAAGCATTAAAAGCAAACGTGGACACGGGCAATACAGAATTGATGTTCAAACTCATGATTTGAGTTGGCCATAACATATAGATGCAGCAAAACGGCTATAGGCGACGACGAGTATGAGCATCAACTTCTCAACTTTGTCGCTGCGCTGGCAGAGTCACTGCAGGCTCAAATGATGAAGCGATGGGTGAGAGATTGAGATGAGTTCTGTGATGACAAAGAAGAGAATTGTCGATGCTCGCAGGCAGGTTATGATACAATGGTCGTAATCAATCGAATACGCTGCAGGTTCTGCCGAAATTTGTGCTATCTGACAGCAATAACAACTCTGCCAAAACAATCAGAATCGTGCCCATTAATTTATGCGTGATATAATAGCTGGCCGTTGTCCTATATTCCTCCATCCCCCAGCGATATCCCCCTCAGAATATGCCATATCACATCGTAGAAAAAATGCGCTTCTCCCTCCTGGCTGTTGTTGTTGCTTTGACAGCATCTATGGTTGTCAGTGCATGTTCGACCCTGAATCAATCTTGCACAGGATACGATTGCTGCGCTGGCTTGTGGTGTAGCAGTGGTTTACTGAATGTAAGCAGGTTGCTGTACAGCCAGGACTCAACCACATGACTCACCTGCGTGCCGTAGGATGGAACCGTGACAATGATCTGCATAAAGGATGGGATTGAAAAAAAATCGGGTCAGCAGCCCGAGCAGCAGTGAGTCATGCGTGATGTTTCTACTTTCGCTTTGGCATCATGGTTAACGGTGCAATATAGGCCGAGTTCAGAGCTAATCAGTACAGTTGTTTCTGAACAAATATTGTGATAGGGTAGTCTGGCGCAGGTCCCTGGGAACGCCAAGGGTCCTGGTGCAGTGGCACAAGTCCTGGATCGTAGTCGGTAGTCCTGCGCGTGTACTAGTAGTCGGCCCTCGATAGATAGAGCCGCAGCCTCCCGCCGGTGAGGTTTGGCCTTGGATTTTCCTTGCAGTCTTTGCCCGCTCCAATGTTCATACTACTCGAGCAATCATGTTGATGTTTAAACTTATCTGAAAATGATCGATCATGCCTACTAGTCTTGCTCGTCATCCGCTAAGCTTGTGTTTGAGAGGCCGTCAAAACGAGCGAGCATTGCTGTAGATAGTTAACGGCAGTACAAAGATGGAACGCACTGCCAAGGTTGAATCTGTTCGTCTAACATTGGACTCCAAGGGTAGCTCATGTGTCCCTCTCTTGATGAGCCAACGAGACGCCGATCGCGATTCGTGACAGACATGTTGTTTTCTGATATGCAGTAAAAGCCTCAAAGTCATGGAATTAAGTCGTGAGCCTTGGTGAGAAGAAAAGGCCGTGAATGATTAAAAACAAAAACAACATCACTGACTGCCGCAGAAGACGTTAACGCTCCATCACCAAGTTTAAACTCAGATCATGTGTTTACACCGCCACCTACTCTTTTTTTTTTTTTTTTTTTGGAAAAGCGAGTCTATTATATAGCAACCGACACCGTCTGGCCCTACATAAACGCTTATAGCAACGCCTTGACCGCCACCTACTCTTACCACAGCGTGTTGTACGAGTATTACATATGCACATGCCGTTCATGAAGCAGATACGGTGGTGAAGGCACTCACAGATGGGATGTCCACATGCTGTATTCTGGAAGGTCCTTGTAGAGGGTCGAGTGTCGATCTGGGTCTGTACGAAAGCGTGGTTCTTGTAGCCGGCGGGTCTGGCGTCACATTCTCTCTTGGTCTGCTGGACGACATCGTTGGCAGGTGTGTCAAACTAGGCCGCAGTCAGGGGGAACGAACGAGGAGAATCGAGTTCACCTGGTGCATTGGATCTTTTGGTATTTCATTTTTGATCACAACGTTACATCATTCTGGTATATTTTCACAAGTCAGATGTAATGGCTTGCCCCGATGCTGATAGATATTGCTACGGCAGCGTCTAGTAGCACCGTCAACCTGCACATTTCTATTTTCGTAACGTGCCCCTGTGATCCAGAAGCCGTACCTCATATTCCTAACTCCATCGTCACACTCTTGCGTCTGCCTAGTGATGGCCAGGTCCGGTCCTGAACCACGGTTCGAACCCGAACCGTTTCGAACCTGACCAAAGTCTGGTTCAAAGTTCGGGCAATAGGGGGAACCGAACCGTCGGTCCAGTCCACGGTTCGAGGACTTGCAGAATTCTCGAACCTGGTTCGAACAGGTCCGAACAGGTTCGAACTGATTGTCAAGTAATAAGGGATGGTACAGGATCATTGGAGGCGAAGGTCATGTTCGAGGGATGGGTGAGCGAGTGCGGAATTGTGGTGTATAACGACAGCATTCATACTAGATATACTAACGTTCAGTGGGTTAGCAAATGAGACAAAAAGGGTAGAAAGACTCACCACCTCTAGGTCAACCTCACCTACTCCCTACATAGTGGACGCGGACCTGACTGGGCACTGACATCAGCACTAAAACATGTCATTTGCAGTGAATAGATGATGCTAAGTAGACCACGCACCTTAATAGACATTTCAAACAAATACTTGCCCGAATTCCTTGACTTGAACAAGCAGATGTTAGGAAGCTCGCGGGGGTTGAAGATTTACTCAATGCTCGTAGCAGTACAAGACCTAGTATAGCAATGCAAAAACAATCGGGCTGATTATTCAGAGCAAGTTTTCGAGGCGCTGTCGAGAGTTGAATGGACATAGCAATAGTGGCTGAGAACGCGAGCCAAATGGCCCTAAACATGCATGAGTTATATGAAACATCGAGTCGAGACAGAAATCAACTTACATACGAGACTATGGGACGGAATGTTTGTACTTAAGATATGTATATGAAGTTTGACATTTTTTGGGTCCGGTTCTCGGTTCAAACCCTTGCTGAACCGGAACCGGACCATTATTGGACCAAACCGATGGTCCGGTCCACAGTTCTGCTTACTGAGAGAACTGAACCGATGGTCCGGTCCACGGTTCTCTGAATTTCCTAGAGAACCGGACCAAACCGGACCTGTCCATCACTACGTCTGCCTATTCAGAGTCTTCTCAAGGACTTCATCAGTCTTCTGTCATCGTTTGCAAAGGAAGATTCGATCGAAATTCAATGTGATGAAAGCCAGAAAATGGTGGGCTTGGGTGCAGGGTCGCGGTCTGGGCTAGTGGCTCAGAGAGCTTGATGGGTTTGACAATGGGTGTGGACGTGGGCGGGATTGCTCTACATACAGAGCTGTTTACTTTATAACGCTGAGGTAGATATCATCTTGTACTGACGTTTTTCAAGAGCTTACATTTCGGTTTGCGGTTATCAACCTGACGGGTTTTCTGATCCTTGACTCGCTGGCGACGCTTCATGTATTTTGCTATAGCTTGTTGCGTTATATCATAATCATCATAATCTTGGGGTGAGTACGATGATATTAGGGGCTGATGATACCTTACAACCTGACCCTGTTTGTGAATGGACTGCGTTATGCCTACTCCATTGCAAAAGTTCGTGGCTGGTTAGATGTTGTCTTAACATATTAAGCCAACCTACTTTCTCCCGAGCACTATGCGTATCATTCCTGGTGCCAAATGCCCAACTTTCTCATATAGAGCTGGAGTTCCCTCTCATCCACTTTGAATATGACAGCTTCTTTCCACTCCTCGTCAGATTCATCATCAAAACGAAATCACAACACCCCTGGGGTAATGATGCATTAAGTCTTATGATTGTAAGATAATTGTGATGCATGAACAATTACTATTGTCACCTTGTACCAACAAGGTCACTGTCACCCCATAATTGTGGCTGAAGCATACCCAAACATTGAACCCGTGGGAAATGACCAAACAAATCACAGCCACATTATGGCTAAGCCTACACCGCATGAAGGAAAACTTTGTTTCGTTTTGCCGCATCATCGTATTGTCCGTGTTTGAGCTCTACCCACCTTACTAGTAACTCTCTTTGGTGTACTGGAGGGCGAAAGTATAATTAGGTGGAGCCGGCACTACAGGAGATGATTTCTCTCAAGGGCCTATTTTTCTATGCCATTACATTCTGTCACTATCGCCAATTGCCCCACTCGTGTTCAGTAATAACATTTTTTACAAAATCAGCTTCCTCCTTTGTTCCCACCACCTCTCTGTTACTTCGTCCAGTTCCAATAAGCGCCTATCTTCAAGCCTGAGGTACTCATTAGGATGAGTGGTGACAAGCTTTTCATCAAAGTCTCGAAGAAGGCGGATGTTTTCTCGTCCATGACCTCATGACAGTGCAACGTACACATTGAATGGTGTAAGTTCTCTACTTGGTGGTTGTGCGATATCGACAATTGTGTTGCTGATTGTTTGACCTTGCGATTGGTAATCTGTAAATGCATATGCTGGTGTCAATGGCAGTTGCATCCGCGTCACAACTTCTTCATGGCCACCAATCATAATACGAAATGTCCGCTGCATGGGGACCAATGGCAGAACACCAGAATCCAGATTCTCCAGAACTTCGGCTTTGGTACGGTTCAACTTGATGAGAATGTATGCCGGAGGATAATGCAACTCCACAACAGCGTTTCTCAATGAAAAGTTCAACTTGTGCTCGTCCAACACGATTTCCACTACTTCTCCCCTTGCCCCATTTGCAACATCAAGATCGGTTTCAATGTTAAAGGTGACCATCACCTTCATGCCCACTGCCAGCTCAACCACATTTGGTAGTGATGCACATTCATCCTGTTTCGTTTGTTTCCCTGTCTGCTTCATAGCCACTGCGAATCTTTCAGCCAGTGTAAGTTGCCATCCTTGCACTGTGTCCATTGCTCAGCATATAATAAGTTGATTTTGAGTTTGCTGGCAATAATTCTTGCTCATATTTGAATTCCAGTGACACCGGACAGCATGACGTGGAGTGACCAACACTGCATCATTCCATGGTGAAGAACTGAAATCAGTTGGTGGGCAATTGGAGTTTGTGATGATGAGAGATTGAAGCATCTCAATATGATGAGGACCACAACTGCCGTGCCGAATGTGTTGAAGAAGATTGTTCCATTCTGGATCTGTTATACGAACTTGCTGCTTCAAACGAACAACAGTCGAAAATTGTTCGTAAATTTTCTGACCCAACATTTCCTCTGCTGTATCTTTGGACAGATCACATGGGTAAAACAATGGTGCACTCTTTTTTTCTATGACAGGAGGAAACTGATGAAAATCCCCAACTAGAATCGTGTTGACACTGCCAAATGGCTTGTCGTCACCCTTTTCTCCTGCCAATGATTTGGCTTTCCCAATATATGCAGAGAGTTTGGCAAAGAATTTGCGAGATATCATGGATGCTTCGTCGATAATGAAATATAATTTGTTTTTCCAGAATGCGGCAAGCTTCTTCAATGTTTTGGCTCCTTGTTCACGACCATTGAGAGGAATTAGTGCAACAACGTGCAGAGTCCTTCCATCGATAATTGAAGCAGCGATACCAGTATAAGCTGCCTTCACGAGTATCGAGGCGACACCCCGACTTGCCAACTCCACCTTCTCCTGGGATTTGCATGAGGAGTTGTGGAGGATTTCGTCCTGCCAGTGTCTCTGACAGGTGCCAATCGATGATATCATAGGCACGTCTTTGGTCCTTTAGCAGGCAAGAAGGATCAATGGCAGTTCTGTGTTCTTGAAGCTGTGGACGTAAATAGGATATTCCACCATTGTGGTTGACGCTGCAATCTTCATCACATTATCGAACATGGTAACGTTTCCAGATATGTTATCAGCTGCAATGATAGCCTTTTGGTCATCATTGACCTTGTTTTTTTCAGCTGCCATCGCAATCTGCCAACATTGAAGTCGACTATAATCATCACCACTTGCCACTCCGACTTTTGAAGACACTATATTCCAGAATTCTGTTTCCTCGGCAAAAACACCCTTCAAGCGCCCTGCCGCAATTGCATTCTGTGCATGTGACTCCTCTCGACTGTTCTTTTGGGATTCTTCAAAAGCACGGAGGTCTTCAGTTGTCAATTCAACAGCTATTTCCTCATCCCCACTTTCGTCTTCCTCACAAACAGTGGCCATTTGCTGGACTTGTGATTCATGTTGTTCGACAGATCCATAAACTTCGCTATCCCGAAGACGACTGGTGGCTGCAGCAGTTTTGCATTCATAATAGTACTGGATTCCAGCAATTACGTCCTTGTCTTGTATTGAGGCGTGGACAAGGAAGTTTGCAAATGCTTCTTCCCATGTTTCAAAATCTGTCCTGATCTCTTTGATACAGCGCCACGGTAAAAGCAAAGTGAGAATTGAGGCGCAGTAAAATTCTCGACGTCCAGGATCATCCCGTGGAAAGAAGGGACCGATGATATTCGGCAAGGTATGGTGACCTTTTGAACGAACAACTTGACGATGAGTGAGGTGCTTGGGATGATCTACAAAATAATCACTTCGTTGATTTCTTGGTCAACCTCGCTTTGATGAAGAATGGGATGTAGATGTACAAGTTTCATTTCGTTTTCGTTCACCTGAAGGAATTGCCTCTTCATATGTGTCAATGACAAAGCGAAAATATGAGTATGTTTTGAGTTCATTGCCACGTAGTTTGTAATCCTCAAACTGTGAACGGATCTGAAGGCGACCTTCAATACCAGCTTCCAAGGTAATTGTGTCCTATACCATCGTCAACTACCTCAGTTATGGATCATAGTTTGTCAACATACATCAGAGTCTTGTTCACAAACAGGATCCTTTACTCCAGATTCTGATTCTGAGTCTGAGTCTGACTCCTCGTCTGTTTCAGAGCCTGCCTTATTCCTGCTACATAGTATTATCAATTGAAGTTCAGACATTATACCGAAATTGATCTTACCGAGCTTTGGTGCTAAGGCTTGGAAATGCCTGTAGCAAGTGCTGTCTGAGAGCAAACCAATACAATGGTTCATAATGATGCAAAGAAATCACATCGCCCCAGTTCATGAGATACACAATAACTTGTGGACCTGACAACTCCATTTCACAATTGATAGAGTGTTGACACCGGAAAAGCAAGAGACGGTTGTGATCGAGTATGCTATCAAGATGATTTGAATGCCCCTCATGGTACAGAAGAGCATTTGCCATGAGAGCAGAAACATTGTTGTTTTTATTCTGTTTCTTTGTTGAATAATCTGTAAAATACCATGTCGCATCTTTTGTTTCGCTGCCGTTCGTGAGAAGCTTGATGTCGTTGTTGCATCAAAGAGTTAGAGTAATAGCTGGGCAGTAGTTGTTGAGAAAGGCATATGTTCGTTTGGGATTCCATCTACCATGCTCGTCAATGACATCGACTGGTGACAAAGGCCAGGGTGCCCGTCTCTTGCAAACCAATTGACCATGCCTGTTAAATCTTAAACATGTTGCCCTGCTACATGTGTGCACCTGTTGAGACCTGACGACACAATGCTCGATGACTTTGTTTTCCATCTCCCATCTGTCAGAATCGGGATTTAAAGGGCGCAAATAAGGGAGTTGGCTTTCTTTTGGCATGGTCCGAATGGATTCTTCATCCAACCCATCAACATGTGCACGAATATTCTGCTGAATGTAGAGCTGTACACGGGCACAAAAATCTTTGTCTTGCAAAAGTTTGTGCATATTCACTGTGTTTGGAGTGTGCTGTAGCCAGATCATCATATGGACATGCAGAGTTCCTCGTCCTTGAGCCTCCACAATACCAAAGTAGCCTTTGATGCGCCCAAGCATACCCATCCCACTATTCATGCGCTGAGTTGTTGCGTCGACTTGGAAAAGGTGGGCGAGAATGGCCTTGATGATGAAAAAGAAATATTTTGTGGCTGCAAATGGATCCCTGGCAATGTTGTGGGCTCTCCGATTGCTATCTGGTCCAGCATCAGGGAAAAATTCATCCAGATTAATTGACTCTCCGGCAAAAACTTGAGCAATGGGATCATGTGTATCGCTCAGATTGACTGTCATTCAAAGACTTGGTCCACAAAGACATAAACATGTTCCCCAGATACGACCACAATATTGAGCCTGGAAGTTATCTGACCCAAGGACTTGACTTGAAGTGGCAAACACATGTTTCCGCAAAAGACGAACTCGTGGATTGGAAATCTGCTTGTTCTCCGCTTCCTCCTTCTCTGCTTGTTTAAGATCTGCCACCATAAGTGACTTGATTACAAATGCATCACACTCAAAGTCCTTCCGTCGCATCTGAATCTGAGCTGACTGCAGTGCTTTGCATTTCTGGCTGATACCAAAGACGACAAATGGAAATGAATGATGAGTTCGAAACCGATGATCATGGTATTGCAATGCCCAACGAACGTGTTCATCAAATCCAACAGACTTGGCACGTGTTGCCTCAATCCCGCCAATGCCATATGGAAACAATTTTGGATAAGTTGCGGCAAGGGGATTGATCCTATTTGACTCTTCACCGCCTGGATTGTGGCCAAAATCTGATACAGGAAGACCACTATGACGAACGGCATATCCTCCTTCATTGTTCGCTGGATCACCAAGGTTCGTAAGGGCATGCTTCATCAAATCGTTTAATGGCAGTTTGCAGAGTTCTGTGTCGGTGATACCCAAATAATGTAATGGGATAATGGCTGCATCTAAGACACGTCACCAATGTCAACCACTGACAAGTATTGAAAATTTTGAACTTCTGACCTCCAAGTTCATTGTCAAATTTTTCCCTACAAGTGTTCCCTTGTTCTTGCAACTCTGGTATGTCATCGCCCGACTCTATATCAAGTCGTTTGGCTTTTAATTTGTGTGAACATAACAAGCAACTCACCATCATCCCAGTTCTGATGATCACTGGGTACATATCCCTCACTTTCGTGCACAACAATATCATCACTAGCCTCGTGTCGAACAATTGAAATGATTTCTTCAGGAACTTCATCTTCCAGAAGGTGTGCAAGTAGATCTTGTGATATCTGAATGTCGCCATATAGTGGGTTATTGGCCTTCAACCATTTCAATGCATTGAAAACCACAGCGCGACGAACACGAAATGTGGACTTCAACCACTCCTTCGGCAAGTCTCTTTTTCCGATATATGTTATTGCCAATATTGAAGCCAAAATATTGACTGGTTGCGGCAAAAACTGTCCTTCAATCATCTTTGCCACATCGTTGGTATTCATGTCATATAGTGTTGCATTTACGGCCATGCCATGCTGCAGATGGCTAGGGTTTCTGCCACCTCTGGTATCTTTTGGATACAACTTGAAGATATAGCACCGAGCAAAATGACGCGAAATGAGTAGCTCCTCAGGAAGAGTAACAACTGCAAGTTGGTGCGGAATAGGTCTGATCCACATATTATTGGCGAGTGCAAACTTGGGCATTGAGTCCCCTTGCAGTGATCGGTAACATTCGGAGCAGACCCAACCTGTCGCACCTAATGCATCACCTTTGATATGACCTTCGACCATTAACATGCCCTCCCATAATGAAACTGAAGCAGGTATTGATTTTGCTGGTATGGTAAGCCACTGTTTGATATTCGGAATGCCATCAAGCACCCGTTGTTCACCTTCACACCACACGACAAAAAGTTGACCTGTTAATAATAGTACATTGCTCCAAAATCAATACTACACACCTTCGTGACTCATCAACTCCCTCGCACACACGATGCAAATTGACATTGCGAGAGCTGAATTTGATGTTGCTGCTCTAAAAGCACGGAAACATTTCTTCACCTCATCTTCTGATGGTAATGCAAGGTATTTGGAATGATCATGGTCATCGCATCACTCTGTGCCCACTTCTTCGTCAATGTAACCAATGCCATCCTCATCAAATTGGTCTTCAATGTGCGACTTGTCTTTTCTCTTCCTCTGCACCTCCCGCCGGTATGCCACTGAATAAAGATGCTTTTTTGCTGCTCTCTTCTCCCGTACTTGCTCTTGTTCATCATCTTTCTTTTCTGCAGCTTTGCATATCATATCCAATATATCATCTGGTAAATCATGCACAATTTTCACTATTTGTGGCTGAGTCAATTTTTGAAAATTGCTTCCAAAAGTATTTGGAGGAACCACAACAAGCAGCTCTGCCTTGGTCAAGTCACCAAGAATATTGTTATCGTTGTGATGATCCATTGAAAGTGAAGTATATTTTAGTGTAACACATCATGTTTTGCTCACTCTCTCCCCAGACCCGATGATGGTATCTGACTAGTACCATCATGGAACAAAGGTTTGTCCATTTCTCACAGACATTTCCTGCAATTCTTTCTTGCGTGATGATGTTCTTGATCCGTGCTCACATGTCCTCCTCAAAATGATATTTGTTTGAACCCTTTCCTCAGATGTTTTCCCAATAAATGTTTTTTACGTGACGATATTCTTGATCCGTGCTCACATGTCCTCCTCAAAATGATATTTGTTTGAACCCTTTCCTCAAACATTTTCCCTGCAAATTCTTCTTACGTGATGATGTTCTTGATCCGTGCTCACATGTCTTCCTATTCAATTCAATCCTATTGTTTCTGAGGCTGAAAAATGCGCATTGAAAACTTGATTTTTCTTAATTACTATGTCATCATAATTATTCAACCCAGACCTTCAAAACTTTGCATTCAACTCCTTTTCAGTGAATACCAATCATCATATATATTGACTCTCCCAATCTCTGATCGTCATTCCAAATCCCCCATCCAAGCCATGGTCCAACAAAAAACAAAGTCATCGTCGTCCTCATCCAAAGAAACACCATCCTCTTCCATGCAACCTGCAACCCCAAATCTCATATCTGCTGCGACCATCCTTGCTAAACTCCAGCGTCAAGATGGTGGTTTTTATGCCGCTACTCCGAACCTTGTCTCTCAAGCCAAATATTTCCAAGGAGGGTGTGAGGGTGATGTATTGATACCCAAAAACACTACTGGGGATGATGAACTCACCCTGCATGCGGTATTTCAAATAAGCCGCACAAATTTCTACTTCACCCCCGATGGAAACTTTGATCCTGGAAACACTATGTTCAACGGCAAATTCGCAAACACCAAATTATCATGCCACTTGATGCCTACACGCCACAAAGATTTCTGTTTTTCCTCCGATGATTTTCCAGCTATCCATGACAACTTGTGGGGATTCGAGAAACTTATTCGACGAGAACGTGATTCTGAAACCTTGAGCACCATTCATACCGCTGCAAGTGTCAATTCTATCAAACTCATTCACCATATTTTCACTGTAAGCTATTTCTTACCCTCAATGTCTTTCTGAACTCAAAAATTCGTCACTAGGTGAAACCGACTGAAGAATCTCAAGATCAATATGCCGCTACTCCACAAGATGATGATACATCATCTGGTAAATTGAATCACCCCTCCTAGCAGAAACTACTGTACAACTAACAATGCCTATTACCAGACACTGCTACAAGTCTAGGACCAGAATTTGAGATCTCCAACTGGCCAGTTGCAGATCGCTGCAAACCCCATCTTGCAGATCTGGTGCAAACACACACTATTAATCCTCTCCCGGCATACGACATTGACCGCCAGCTCATTACGCCAACTCAATACGAGAGCAAGTTATGTGGTGCCGTTGTCGAAGTACACTTTGCTTTTTTTCACCATCACATTTGAAGGTCTAAGTGTCACATCTTCAATGCTGTTCTTCGCGAGTTGATCGTGTTATGACCACCGTCAAACATGCCTTCAAGTCCACTGAAGCGACACGAAATTGGCACTGGCCCTTCATCAGACAATCCTCTCAAAGGCAAGAAACGAGCTCACACATCTGGTAAGTCCAACTTTTACATTTGCGCGTCTCACATCCATCTCAACCTTTACTCAGAAACCATCTAAAGACCACACTTGTTCTATATCATATTAATATGTTGTACTACGATAACACAATTTGCGTCGCCTTTCTTGAATATCACTCCGCCGGCTCGTCCCTCTCCAAAGTAGTATGGTTTCATGTAGTGTACCACCAATGATGTACAACTAGTATACCACTTGTTCAATGAATGTTGATTATCATGATAGTACACATTCAAATTTGAGCCAGTGGGACAAGGTTCCTGCCGGTGAAGCTTGGCCCTTTCTAGTAAGTTAGAATGATGCATTAAGTCCATTACAGTTGTAAGACACCCATAGGACATTTAGCACCTCTTTCCCACACCCAATATTTTTGCATTTTTGGCCACCTACTGTGGGAATTCCTCCAAACCCAAAAAGGAGCACTAAAGATACATTGCTTCTCATATCAGCACACTGCATTTTTGGCCACCTACCATGGGAATTACCCCACAACACCAAAAACATCGCCCACTTTGGGAATCTCCACGATATCAATTATTCCCACACCCTCCCCACCTCACTGCAGCTTCACCACTACACCACAATAGGTCTTCCATTGTATCTAAGTAGTAGTTTAGTATAAATGTGTATAATATAATATAATAGACCACTTTTTTTGTTTGTTTGTGTGACTGCTCCTCCTCCAGGGGCAATTCAACATAGGGTAGGGTACAAAACACTTTTGCATTTTTGCCCCTTTGGTGAGGAAGTGTTCTATGATATTCAGAACATGTTTAGGAGTATATATGAAGACATTCCCATCTTTATTTGACCCTCTGAAGTGTCCTACATCAATAGATATAGCACATATGCAAGAAAACACAGAATATGTTCTCATTTAATTATTTCTAGGTGAACAGACTTGTAAAAATAATTCCCAGCATCTATTAAACAATGGGAACAATATATAAGGAGCACAGGACCATAGGATAATTCCTTGTTGCATGGTGTGCCCCTCCTCTCCTGGTGGTTTACCCTCTGTGAAAATTTTTCCTGTAGGACCGGATCTCAATTGAGGTAGGAGGTCTATTCCTATGTATATTTGGAGTAGATCTATCATATAGCTGGACCAGAACACACATAGGATCTTGCTACAGGAACAAAAACATAGAAAATCACATTTTTAACATTTTTTATGGTTTTTAGTATCTTACTCTTGCATATATAATCCAGCCTGTTCATATATAATTAGAATAGCATATATACTTGCTTTTTATCACAAGGATCAGCCCTACATAGGGCGCAAATTTGAGATCTGATGTATAAAGGGTATTTCTACTGATAAGAAGCCCACATAGTAATAAAACCTGTGATAAGTGATCTGAGACCTGGAATACCTCTTATATATGACCCTAATGATGAATCTGAAGGTTTAGAAAGATCCATAAAGGACTGACTGAATGACAAGGAAAATGACATGTGTAAAAAGTGACAATTGACATCTTTTGACACAAAGTCATATTTATATATGGTACAAGTCAAATATTTCATTGAAAATATATAGGATACATGGTAGACTACTAAAGAAATCTATGCTACATACTGCTCTGAGGTTGGAGGGTGGTGGAAGGGATGTGGTGTATATTTGAGTTGACCCAGCATTAAAGTCCTACCACTGCCTAACTGTCCATTTTCGATGTTTTGGGTCTTTGAACTTTCCCACACTCAATTTCTTATCTATTTCACTTCCTTAGCACTCAACTTTGGTTGGATTAGATTGTAAATTTAGACATATGATACTGAATGTATTTGAAATCTACTCCAGGTATCTGATTATTAAATTTCTATGTTTTGAAAATATGGGCACCTTATCAGTAAAAATACCTTCTATACATCAGATCTCAAATTTGCGCCCTATGTAGGGCTGATCCTTGTGATAAAAAGCAAGTATATATGCTATTCTAATTATATATGAACAGGCTGGATTATATATGCAAGAGTAAGATACTAAAAACCATAAAAAATGTTAAAAATGTGATTTTCTATGTTTTTGTTCCTGTAGCAAGATCCTATGTGTGTTCTGGTCCAGCTATATGATAGATCTACTCCAAATATACATAGGAATAGACCTCCTACCTCAATTGAGATCCGGTCCTACAGGAAAAATTTTCACAGAGGGTAAACCACCAGGAGAGGAGGGGCACACCATGCAACAAGGAATTATCCTATGGTCCTGTGCTCCTTATATATTGTTCCCATTGTTTAATAGATGCTGGGAATTATTTTTACAAGTCTGTTCACCTAGAAATAATTAAATGAGAACATATTCTGTGTTTTCTTGCATATGTGCTATATCTATTGATGTAGGACACTTCAGAGGGTCAAATAAAGATGGGAATGTCTTCATATATACTCCTAAACATGTTCTGAATATCATAGAACACTTCCTCACCAAAGGGGCAAAAATGCAAAAGTGTTTTGTACCCTACCCTATGTTGAATTGCCCCTGGAGGAGGAGCAGTCACACAAACAAACAAAAAAAGTGGTCTATTATATTATATTATACACATTTATACTAAACTACTACTTAGATACAATGGAAGACCTATTGTGGTGTAGTGGTGAAGCTGCAGTGAGGTGGGGAGGGTGTGGGAATAATTGATATCGTGGAGATTCCCAAAGTGGGCGATGTTTTTGGTGTTGTGGGGTAATTCCCATGGTAGGTGGCCAAAAATGCAGTGTGCTGATATGAGAAGCAATGTATCTTTAGTGCTCCTTTTTGGGTTTGGAGGAATTCCCACAGTAGGTGGCCAAAAATGCAAAAATATTGGGTGTGGGGAAGGCCCTGATATGAGGAGCCATCTATTTTTAATGCCCCTGATTACGGTTGACTATGTGTATCAGGTTAGTTTTCACCAAACAAATATTATTTGTTATGTTACTTTGTTTGCGTATTAGTAAATACTGTATGGCTGTGTCCATTTCCCTGCACCACTTGTCACGTTATCACGTTGTCATCCTCAGCGTGCTCGTCTCTGAGCTTGTTGTCACCATCATCAGGCTCACTGTCATGCAGCTATTACCTTATTGTCCGCTATTGAGAGTATGGTTTTTGGTCTGGTCAACTATCAAGGTAGTAAGTGTGTCTATTTTATGTCACCAACTACATCTTTGCCCTCACCTGTTGCGCTTACTAGTGGCTTGTTACATATGTGCTGCCACGCCAGTGCGAGCGGATGATTTCGGAAACATGCAGGTATAAAGTTTTTCTATGTCAGTTTATCTCGTTCTCATGCACTATTAGCCATCCCTCCCTGACATCATATCCTCTGATCTGTTCATGGACTCGGACCCTTATGATGTGGATGCTTTGGACCATGGTTCATTTGACGAGTCACAGCCTCCATCCACTCGTGTCCCAAACCCAAGGGCAGAAATCAACATGGAGAATGTCGTGAGCAATACAGCATCAATATTCCGCTGTTACACTGATCAGTATATCATTACAGCTCCAAAAAATGATCAATTCATCCAGAACATCCTTGCCCAGTACCACCACGACAACATCACAAATTGGAAAAAGATCAGCCGCCTTCTCAAGGCTGAGCACGGCATAACTATGAGGCAAGTCTGACCCAGCACGCTCTCTAAATGTGTCTGCTTACATCTCTCCAATAGCGAAGCAACTGTTTCTTGACATCAGCAACAGTTTGGACTTCTAGGAAGCAACCAGTTGACACACTTACTGCCCAATTCAACTAAGCGGCAGTTGGTACTCGACCAACTTGCACAAGATCCCCTTCACCGTCGTGGGCCATGCTTAGTCCAGGAAACCATAGTGGCCAACACAGGAAATCTGCTGACAAGGTAACACCATCATTGCATTACATAGGTTCGTGCAAGCTAATTTTAAGAAAGGGAATATGTGATGAATGAAATGAGGTGACACGAGCCTGATGGATTTGCCCAGCAGGAACCTTCAAGGAAGAAGACCTCTTGACAGCTGCTGGTTTCGCTTGGACCACATCATCAATGGAGTGGTGATGGGCACAACAAATTGAGCAAGATAGGGTATCCCATATGGGCCATCCATGATCGGTGGTCTGGAAAATGGTTGGGAATGTGGGTAGTTCCGAACAATCGTCTTAAGATGACAATCACCTACCTCTACTTATCTCTTGTCTACAAGATTGGTGGTATGTGATGCTCATGTATGCCAGTAGCATGATTCATTGTTTATCTAGGAATGCCGCTTCAAACAACAACTGAAATGTACAGTTTTGCCAATGCATTAAGGTCAGTCATGGTGCTACTAATTATTATTGCGCTGTGAACTAAGTATACTTTTTACAGGGAAATCTTTTCTCCGAATCTACCCACTGATGAGTTGCCTGCTCACCACTTTTGAAGAGTATTCACAACATCACAATTGAGTGTGGCTGGCTTCGTGTGTTACGACTGGGATCGGTCGTGCTATCAAAGTCCGAATGGACAGTCGGCGGTAAGCCTGATAGACAAGGGTCTTCTCTCGAATGAGAGGATCAAGGGTCTAGGCTAAGACGAGTGTTGCTGGAACGGGCACGGACTGCAAGGGAACCAAGGCCAGACCTCTATGGCGGGAGGCTACGGCTCTGTCTATCGAGGACAGACTACGACACACGCGAGGACTACCGACTACGAGCCAGGACTCCTGCCACCACGCCAGGACCCCTGCCACTCCTGTCCTGTTCTGCCAGAGCGCCCCGCTACATATGCCACCCCTCCAAATGCAACCGTCCGCGGTTGCACAACGAAAGACGAACGTGCGGGAGTGCGGAAACCTGCGCCAGACCACCACCCTGGTACACCTCCCCCCTCTCCAAATGCAACCGTCCGCGGTTGTACCACGAACGACGAATGTGTGGCCGCAGTCCGAAAATGACGAGAATGCGGCGGCTGAACGAGACGGAGAGGTTTTTGACACCGGCAAGTAGGACAATGTGGTGTACTAGTAGCATGGTGGGAAAAACGATATGGCGAGTTGTCGAAGAATGTTGGATAGCGTCTCAAGTGTGAGTGATGTGGGAGTACTGCAAATACTGTGTGAGGGAGTTGAACATGAGTCCGCAAACGACGACGCCGGTACTGAAGACTGGACCATGGGTTGCGACAGGAAGTGCGAAGGGCCGAAAAATCGCGCGAAGGTCGAGTCTGAGCAACTGTGTAGCACACATCATCTGCCCAAGTGGGCGGGGCAGTATGAAGGTTAGTGTTGGTGATTGGCGAAGACGGTAGATAGGATGGCAACAGTACAGACAAACTCCATGCCTTCAACTGCGCAATGTCAGCGTCTCGACGATTCCTATCTTCCAACTTCTCACAACTCCGCTGGAGCTTGATGCTGGGAACTCGTAGCACATCTTCAACGAACTCGTCCCATGTTGAGTAACTGCATGTTAGGTGGTTCTTGAGGAGGTCGGGGATGCCCTCGAGCACATCCTCAATCAAATCTCCTTTTAAATCTCCCATAAAGCAAGTTGCGAGATCTCAGTTGCCCATACAACATGCGCAAAGTTGCCGTTGGGCGCCAATGCTCCAATATCACCCTCTTTCAGTGCATGCGCAGCCACGCGCTCTCTCTGCTGCGCACGAGATAACTTGGGCGGTTTCAGAAGTGGCCACCGTTTGAAAAAAGCTATCGTGAGTGCCGCAAATGTGGCAGTTTGGACTGAGTTGAGTGACTGGAACCACTGGTCTGCCATTTGTCCGGGCACGAGTTGCATAGAGAAGCGCCGGACACGCTGAGTGTCGGTCCATGTTGTTGGAAGGGAGAGCTGGAATTCTGTGAACCACGTAGACGGTTCCTCATTGCCACTATAGTCACCATAGAAGAGCGGGACAGGTTCTATAGACATGAATTTGAAATTCGGGGACCAGAAACCAAGAGAAGTCGAAAAGTAGACCAGAGCAAAAAAATGTGAAAATGCGAAAACCAGGACTCAGATCTCAGATGTCAAGCACGGGGAGCGAAGACCACTCTCATCACCAGATGGAACGGGCACGGACTGCAAGGGAACCAAGGCCAGACCTCTATGGCGGGAGGCTACGGCTCTGTCTATCGAGGACAGACTACGACACACGCGAGGACTACCGACTACGAGCCAGGACTCCTGCCACCGCGCCAGGACCCCTGCCACTCCCGTCCTGTTCTGCCAGAGCGCCCCGCTACATCGCTGACTCTCTTAGAATCGTGGTTCTTAGACAACAAGGTTGGAGACCTTGTTGAAGGAATGTTCCAGGTAAAACCCAGTAGATTAAAGTAAGGAATACAATCGTGCATAGTACAGTCTATATAGGTAATGTTCAAGCGGAGCTTGTAAATGTGTTATCAAGATAAGAGAGATAGGGCGGACGGCCCACTTGGAAAGAGATAAGAGATAGGGCGGATGGCCTGCTTGGATAAGGGAAAGGTACGGACAGCCCGTTTAGTACATAATGAGAAAAGAAATGATAGAGGCGAATGTTATCATAACATTACCCCATTATTATGGTCAAAGTCACCGACTTTGACATTAATCGTCCTGGTTGACGTACTCATCCATATGAGCATAGTAGATGACATCTGCGTCAGCATTCTGTAATTCTAATTCCTCGTCTTGATGGTGTGCATTGTACTCGGCGTTTGCTCTGTCTAACTCCGCTAGGAGTTCTTCGTCCTTTCCTGCTTCCCATGCTGCTAAAGCCTCGTAAAAGCCGTCGTCGATATAAACCAACGGAAATTGCTCCTTCTTTGGAGCGTAGGGGCAGTAGATGGAAAAGTGACCAGGCGCATGGGCCTGGCATATACGGCAGTAGTATTCGGGGCAGTTCTTGTGGCGATGCCCGAGTTTCTTGCAGACGTGGCATACGAAATTATCTGGGGAGAACTGAGGTTGTTTCACCGTGATGACGTTGGGGGATTCGGTGAGGTCAATGACCTCACGCTTCTTTCCTTTAGAAGCTCTGGTCTTCGTCACTCCATGTACGATAGTTCCTTTACGGGTCTTTCGTTTGTAGATGGTGGTGGGCTCGGGGATGGGTAATACTTCTTCAGCCTGTGCTGGCTGTGCAGCTGGCTGAGGCTCTTCTCCAGGTATATCTGTAGCAGGTACGCTGCTGGAGGGAGCGCTAGCAGAAGCGTTTGGCGGGCGACCGACCTCGGTCGTGTTTTGTTCTGCAACAGTTCGTATAACTGTTTTGCAGACAGTGCTAAAAGCAGCAGGAAGAAGCTGAATCTCAAGACTGCGAATGCGTCTCTGGATGTGTTGACATGCAAGTCTGAGGGCGTCATTTTCGACTTCTTTGAGTCTGAGTTCGAGGGCGGCGGTGGCGCATATGACATGGATCTGGGATAGTATGGGGGCTGCTACGACTGCAGGTTCTTTGGCGAGTTGTCTCTCAAGTTCTTCTGCGTGGGTGAGTGATAATAGAGTGGTTTCGACAATGGCGTCGTCGTCAACGTTGATGATGTTCTGCTTATAGGATGTGTCTCTGAGAGAGACGTGGGAGATGTTTGATTCAGTGGGCGATGGTGTCTGGGGGGGAGTCATGTTACTGAAGAAATGTTTGTTCGTCTGAGGGGATGACCTGTTCAGTTCAACTTGTGTCTCTTCTTATACGTTGCAAGGAGATCTTTCGAACTCCGCAAATTCTCTTCGGGTATCCATTCGTTGCTCCCGGAAGAATAACCGGTCCAAGATACGAGATAGCGTCTTTGTTTTCCCGCTCCTCTGTGGCTAAGAATAACTTCGACTTCGTATTCTTCTTCGCCATTGACTATATCGGGAGGTGGTTTGGTATAGTTCGGTCCGTGTATCTCTGTTTCGCGATAGGATGATAGTTCAGAAGCATGGAACGTGGGATGAACTTTCCATTGCTTGGGGAGTCTTAGGGTGAACGTGATGGGGGATAAGACTGCCGTGATCGTGAACGGCCCATGTCTCTTGGGCGCAAGTTTCCTAGATGGTAGGGACGTGAGGAGATTGGTGGCGTTTAACCATACCTGATCTCCTATCTTCCACGGTTGGTACTTCTTTTTGCGAGATCTTTCTGCCATTCGTTGCATGGCTATATTATGACAAGCGATTGCTTCCTCACGAGTCTTTTGGAGGTTCCTGAGTCTTTCTTCTGCTGTGGGGACGTCTGATACGGCGAGGACGTGGGGAATCCCCCTTGGTTCGTATCCCATCATTAGGAAGAAAGGGGATGTGTTTCTTGCGTCGTGTTTTCTATGATTGTGGACGAATTTGGCAAGGGGAAGGTGTTGCGACCATTCTAGAGGGTTGCTTCTGCAATAGATTCGTAGGTAGGTTTCGAGTTCCTGGTTAAGGCGTTCAGTCTGTCCGTCGGTCTGAGGATGATATGCAGTGGATGCTGCGATTTGATATCCAAGGAGTCTGGCTAGTTCTTTGGAGAATTTTGAGATAAACTGGGGTCCTCGGTCAGAGATGACTTTATCATGGAGGCCGAATCATTTGAAAACATTTTTAAGGAATAGTTTTGCCACTCCTTCGGAGGTGATGTTTTTGTTGTAAGGTGAAATAATTGCCCCCTTCGTAAGCCCGTGGTCGACCACGACCATGACTGAGTCGAAGCCGCCAGATTCCGGGAGGTCGGTGATGAGGTCCACGGAGACCTGAGAGAAGGGTCGAGTGGCGGAGGAGGGGATTGGGCATAAAGGGGGGTTCGTAGGGTGGGTGTCCACCTTCATCTGTTGGCACAATGCGCAACCATCGACATATTTCCGGATGTAAGTGCCCATGGCTGGCCACCAATAATCCCTCTTAATTAACTCTTCCGTCTTAAACCGTCCAGGATGCCCGGCGGTGGGATGATCATGATGCATAAACAGGACATCTGATCGTTGAGAGGGAGGAACGTAGGCCCTGTTTTTATAAAACAGGATCCCTTCCTGGAGTGTCCAGTCAGACAATGCCAACTTCATAGGTGGAAGACAGATTCCATTTAATGTGTCAGTTGCTATTTGGACGATAGTGTCCTCGGCTGAGTCTATGGCGATGGCCTTGGAATGGTTCTCATCAATCAATCGCACAAACATAGAATCTGGTAGGAGGATTTTATCCTCGTTATCGGTTCTTCCTAAAGAATGATCTGGTCGTCTGGAGAGAGCATCGGGGGCGGCGAGCTTAGTTCCAGCGACATGATGGAGTTCCAAGTTGAAGTTTGATAAGGCTAGCTGCCAGCGTGCTTGTCGTCGAGACAGCTTCTGTGCAGTCCGGAAGTAGAGAAGGTTCATGTGGTCGGTGAACACAATCACAGGATGGGGGTTGCCTTCTAAATAATGGCGCCATTCAGAGAGTGCTCTGATGACTGCCAGTAATTCTCTGTCGAAGATTTCGTAGTTTCGTTCTGCTGAATTGAATGATTGAGATAGATATCCGCATGGGTGATACATCCCATTCTCGTCTGTTTGAAGGAGGACCGCGCCCATCGCAGCAAGCGAGGTGTCGGTTGCGATGGCAAATTGTCTATTTGGGTTGGGGTTTCTTAACACTGGTTGGGATAAGAAGGCCCTTTTCAAACGGTCGAAGGAGTTTTGGCATTCGATGGTCCATTGGAAAGGATGATCCTTTTTTGTTAGATCAATCAAAGGTCGTGCAATGTCAGAATAATGGGAGATGAATGACCGGTAGAAGTTGCAGAATCCAAGAAAAGACCGTGTGTCTTTTAGGTTCTCTGGCTTCGGCCAATGCTTTATTCCGTCGACTTTGGCTGGTTTCATCCCTACTTCCCCTGGACGGATAATCATTCCGAGATACTCAACTTCTTCTGCGTCAAAGGTGCATTTTTCAGGTTTGACAAATAATTTCTCCTTCCTTAGCGTATCGAGTACTCATTTCGTCTGTCTTCGATGTTCATCCAGGTCCTTGGAGAAGATTAAGAGGTCGTCCATGTAAATGACTAACCATCCTTCATTTATCTCTTGTTGATAGAGTCTTCCCATGAAAGTTTGGAAAGTTGCAGGAGAATTAGTTAGTCCGAAGAACATAACCGTGGGTTCGAATAATCCCTCTTCCGTGGTGAATGCAGCCTTCCAGCGATCCTGAGGATGGATGCGGATATTATTATATCCTGATCTGATGTCGATTTTAGTGAAATATTTGGCGTCATAGAGTCGTTCGATTAAGGATTTTGGAAGGGGAAGAGGGTACTGATTTCGAATTGTCCAGTCGTTAAGATAACGATAATCTTGGCAGGGTCGCAATTCTCCACTTTTCTTTCCTACGAAGAAAAATCCGCTGGCTTGGGGCAATTTAGAGGGGACAATAAACCCTTTCTTGGTGTTTTCTTCGATAAAGGTTTTGACTGCTTCGCGTTCTTTTCCGGATAACGGATAGATTTTGGACGTCTTCGGCACGAACCCAGGTTTTAGATCGATGCGATGATCTATTCCTGGTCTTTCAGGGGGTACTTTATTAAGTCCGTCTTTGGCGAAGACGTTGGTGTACTGATGAAGGAAGGTGGGGACTAATTCTTCGAAGGTTTTGCTTTGTTTTGCTATTTCTCCAGCGATGGCGAATTCTTGGGCTTTGTTACTGGTTTTTCCGAATTTTTGTTCTCTTTTTGACGTTCCGTCACGAGTTAATGGAGTGTCGAAAGATAGATCCTCAATTATTTGTACTGTCGATCTGTCGGTGGCATATTCAACGAGTACTTCATCGTTCGCTAATTTGTAGGCGAACAGGTTGTTAACGGCGGGTTGGAAGTTATCTGACCATACATCTTCCTTGGTGTCGTAATCAGGGGTTTCTTCGTCTACAACTTCCTCTACAGAAGCGGTATAGGGGAGGGTGGTTTCATTAGTTGCCACCTTCACCTGTATCGGTTTCTTTAGTTTGGAATTTGTCCAAAGACGAGATGTTTCCTTTTTGATAGGAGTTCTTTCGAGGAAAAGTGGGGGGAGGTTTCTTTTTCTTCTTTCTTGATCTATTTTCTTTTCTATCATTCGGGATCTTTTCGTGGGTGGCAGGGATACAGTTTTCTGTTCCCAATCGATCAGAGGTTTTGATGCTGCAAGCCAGGGAAATCCTAAAAGGATTTTATCCTGTTTGGCGAGTGTCGCTACATTGAATTTTCCAATCATTGTCCTTTGGTCGATTTTGACGGTCAGGACACAATAGCGGGAAATGAGACCTCCTTGGGCTTCTGATCCATCTGCTGTCACGACAGGAAATGGTCGAGAGAGTTTGTGTGTTCGTATTTTGTGTTTCTTGCAGAAGGCACTGCTTATAAAAGTTCCGGATGCTCCGGAATCGATGACCATAGAAGTTTCGACGGTTTTCATACGTTTATTGGAGAAAATTGATGCAGGGATTCTCAATTCGTTTCAATTTCCAATGGATCGTATTAGTCGTACAGGGGTAGGAAGTACTGACGTCGAGGCAGTCTTCCCATTTAAAAATCCAATTCCACAAAGCGGTGTTCTACTTCGGTGAAGTCACTATCTTCTTCATCCTCTTCTTCTACCTTCGTGGTTTTCCTTCGGACCGGGGCTTTCCTTTTCGAAGAGGTGCTCCCTCTTTCTTTGTCTTCCTTCTCCTTCTTTCTCCTAATAGGTGTCTTCCTAGAGGTGGAGGCGCGACTTTCGACTTCATCGTCGCTGCTCTCATCTTCTTTATTTCTTCTGATCTGGTCTCTCTCCCTTGGATGGAAGGAAGTGTCATTGGCGCGATGTCCAACTTGGTGACACTTGAAGCATCTTCCTTCTTTGAGGTGTTTCTTTAATTCGGCGTCGGATAGACGGCTTATGCAATCGACTTCCATATCGTCGCTTCTTCTGGGAACATAGTGTTTGTTTCCGAAGTTCTTCTTCTTTTGAAGGTTTGGTCTCTCTCGTTTTTTGATGGCTTTCAACCTATGATAGGCGTTATCGAGGTTGATGCAGGTGTTGACTATGGTGTCGAAATCGTCGAGACTTTTGCCAGTACGGTGAAGACTATCCTGTAGTCCATAGTCTAGACCTTGTCTAAAGAATTCGATGAGGGGGGCTTGTTCGGACATTCCTGCTCTATGCGCAAGGAGTCGGTAGTTGGAAATGTAGGTGTGGAGGTCTCCCTTCATTTCCAATCCTCTGATCTTCATCATGGCAGTTCCGGCGGGGTCCATGGGTTTAAAGGCTTCGTCGAAGTCTTTCTTGAATGCGACCCATGTTCCGTAACCGATCTGCTGTCCAGAGGTATCTTTCCTCTTGGGATCTAGGGCTGCTTCCATGAAGTCTTCGGCCCAGGCTGCTGCGTTTCCTTTTGTCATATAGGACAATACAAGGATGATCTTCTTTTTATCTTCATCGTATACCTTATCATTGATGTCGAGGTATGTGTGGCACTTCATCATAAATCTTTTAGATTCTTCTCTGTCTCCGTCGAATTCAGGAGGAGATCCGATCTTTGGTTCTATGTCTTTGACTTTGGTGGTCATATTGTTTAGTGGCGGGATGTTTGGTAGTGCCCCTAGGTTCAAGGCTCCGATCAAAGGAGTTAGCGAAGTCGTGGTGTCGGTTGCATTGCAGATGGCAACGGTTCAGGTAATGGAGACTTTAATCTTTTGTTATGACTGGGATCGGTCGTGCTATCAAAGTCCGAATGGACAGTCGGCGGTAAGCCTGATAGACAAGGGTCTTCTCTCGAATGAGAGGATCAAGGGTCTAGGCTAAGACGAGTGTCGCTGACTCTCTTAGAATCGTGGTTCTTAGACAACAAGATTGGAGACCTTGTTGAAGGAATGTTCCAGGTAAAACCCAGTAGATTAAAGTAAGGAATACAATCGTGCATAGTACAGTCTATATAGGTAATGTTCAAGCGGAGCTTGTAAATGTGTTATCAAGATAAGAGAGATAGGGCGGACGGCCCGCTTGGAAAGAGATAAGAGATAGGGCGGATGGCCCACTTGGATAAGGGAAAGGTACGGACAGCCCATTTAGTACGTAATGAGAAAAGAAATGATAGAGGCGAATGTTATCGTAACATCGTGTGCAAGTCCAATGGGGAGACAATGTGAAGATCTTTTGGGAAGCAGGTGAAGAAATTTATAATGATATGGATCCATGCCAATAGTATGTTCATGTGTGGCGGCACTGTTTTCTGATTTAATCTTACTTCTGTCTCAGTGATCTCGTTCAGTGGCTATGGCCATGGTTAATCCAACAAGAGCTTGACAAGCTGAAGCATCGTCTCAATACCCATACTGTTCAGTACAACCATGATAAACTATTACTGTCTGGTGTCTCCCCGAACATTGCAATGTCACTGCATGAAGACTATGGCACCAAGAATTGCCTGCAACCAGTGGATCGTGACGTTGTCAAGAATCTTATGGAGGAGATTGGCGGAGAAGATCTTGTCCGTTTCATTGGCTCTGAGTATAGTGTTGCTGCACAATCAATCTTCAATGATCTTGGATTCACTGTCTTAACTTTCAAGAACGTCTGGCAGGTGTTTGCCACAATGTTACCATTAATGTAGTTTATGTTGGTCATGGTAATATATACTGCTCTGCTTGAATGAATGTCGAGAATTAGTCTGAAAGTTGGGGTGAAAATTAAGAGTAAATGTAAAACGAGTTGTATCATATGCAAATGGGTGAGGATTGGTATGTACTAATCAAAACCGATACAAAGCGGACCTTTGCAGATGGTATTGAACAGACTTAGAGGAGGAACCTTAGTGTCAAGGCCAAGGGTGTTGCAAAATTTGTTGCATTTGTGCGACTCCAAAAATTCTGAGATTGCCGGTTTTCCATGATCCCAGTAGCCTGAGTCACCGTTTGCACTGTGATGCAGAAATTAGACGTAACCATCAGATGGATAAAAGTATTGTACACACATATGAGACTGCGGATCAAAAAAGACAATAGATCAATCCGGTGTGACAATTCCTGCAGTGCTACTCAACAACAAAACAATAGAATCATTGCATAGACTCACCTTGAATATCGGATATGATCATCTCATACATTGAATCAACAGCAACATGATGAGCATATGCATCTATGGCACTTCTGAGTGAGTCATTATTGACTCCTACTTCTGCATTTCCAGAAAACTTGATTTCATTGCACAATGCACCAGTTGGGAGAAGTTGGAGCACCATAAAGCAACTAAAAACGAGGCTGTGCAAATCCTCTTCTCCATTGTTTGGAGCATCAGCAAGTTTTTGAGTAAGCTTCCCAATGAATGCCCCAGTAATGTTCCACTTCATTTCTGTGTGATAGACTTGTCAGCCTTCAATCAATATTTCTATATGATAAGCTTACTGGGAAGATTGTGGACATCCTCTTCTTCCCCTCGTCTGTAGAACGAGTCCAAAAAATACTGAGATAGGTGAAGAATTTCCAGTTCGCCCAGCAAATCCTTTTCATTGTCAACATCTCTCGAGCGAATGCATTTACATTGAAGGACGGCATAGTCTGTGTTGTTGTAGCGACCCTGCATTTCAAGTTGCTATCAGCAGTAGGCCCAGTGCTCGAAGAAAAGTAGTGGAACTCACGCGAAAGACGAATTTTGTCAATCCTTGACCAAGGTAACCCTGATATGGTTTTCCTACCTTGACGTGAGCTTGCTATCCTTTAGCGACCATGATCTCTTCTTCTTCCTCACTGTATACCATCTTCGGTTCCCCAAAGTCATTCACGGAGCAAGTCACACACTTCATTTTGAAGCATTCGAACTCAAGTGGTGCCAGTGCACCAGTGGTGGGCGCAGTAGCAGAACATCTTGGTCGGTATGAGCTCTGATAGCACTTAGCAGGTCGCAAACGTTCAGGTGACACTATTTGAACGTATGAGTATAATTGAGTGTAGAGGAAGGAAATGATATATGTAATATCCCTTCTTAAATAGAGAGAGGGTTCTTTGGGTTCTGGTACTTACTTTCCCCTTATCTTGTTATACTGCAAAGTGTATAGTTCTCCCCCCCAATACTAGAAATCTGGTTATACTCCTCCACTGATTGTCACCTGTGCTCTTGCTACTCTCTTAAGGACTCCTTCTGTCATATCCCGCGTTCCGGATCCGGACCTATCACACTCATCATTTCTGGATTTCCGGATCCAGCCGACTTCTATGTATCGTCCGGATCCGACCCGTGTCTAACCTCCGTGCCTTATCCCTTTGGTATTTCCCTTATCAGTTAGTACACTTTATTTTCCGTCCCTTATTCATTTCCGTCTTCATTTTACTAAGTTCCGATAGACTAGTGATAGTCGTCCCATATGTTTTATCCATAGCTTTACATAGCCTCGCACTGCACTTACTGTTCTCCGTTATGTCCTCAGTAGTATATAAACCCTGTACAGTCTCTGTAGTTTCCTCAGTTCGAATATCATCTTAGACTCTGCTCATTCTCTCCTCCGTCCGACTTGAGTTTCTCTCTCGTCGACCTCCGCTCGTCTTAGGATTGATTCCTATAGACTCGTCACCTCCGCCTCTACCTTTGGTAGTCCTCCACTGTTTCCTTTCTAGTTCGGACTTCGTCCGGATTAGTCTTATCTCTTGTTCCCAAAACGTCCGCCGGAATTCCCGCGCATCGGACATCGGACTCCGGACATCACCCAACGCCCTCCGGACATCGTCCGGTAACCTTCGGACATCGTTCGACAGCCTTCGGAAGTTAGGGGCACGTACTCGGGTAAGGGGTGCAGCGCACGAGCTGAAGCCAAACCCTTCGGATCCGACTATTGAGCACGTTCTTAACACCTTCCCTCATTGCTCAAGCGCGCCTCCGCTTATGCGCGTACCCTCCGCATCTCTCGCTCACACGCGCATCTCACGCGCCTTCGCATCGCCTACGCACGCGTTACTTTCTCGCGTCTATCAGCGCCCGTCTAGTTGACAGAGTTTCCCTCCATTGTATTAGCGAGGAACTTCTCTCAGTAGCTGTCCTTTGGGTCGAGTCGTATTCTCGTATCCAGGTCTTTCTGTAGAGCCCCATCTGTTTTTAGTGTTTCACCTATAGTCAAGATTCCTCACCTTCAACGGCAATGAGAACCAAAAGCCATGTGATGCGTAAACTCTACAGTTTGTGAATGGAGGAAGGGAAAAGACAAGGACAGATATAGAAAGAGAATCATCGTGAATTGCAGCCTTACTCACCTGATGGAGACCTTTTCCGCTTCTGACGAGAACTTGGTGCTGTTGATTTCCGAGTTGACATGTGTCAGTTCTGTTGGACTTCCTGGATATCATTGTCCTTGGATTGTATGTGTCAGACAATTGCCTGTGGGATACTGATTTTATTTACCTCTTCAGCCTTGGGGACATACAGGAACAGGCGAAGTGTGATCTTTGGGGTTTTCGCATTTCCATCCTTCTCAGACAACATGCGATCCTGTTTCAGGTTTCCGTAGAGACTTTCCATAGTTGCTGACACCAGATACTTTTGTTCCTCAATCATATTTACAGTAGTGTTGTTGAGTACCATGCAAAATTTAATTGTGTGCCTGAATTACAGGGGAGTTTCAGTATGCACAATGCGACCACTATGCAATGACATTACCAATCAAACATAAGATCCAGAGCCACATTGGATAGTCCTAAAAGGGGTGGCGTACTATTATACAGGCCTCTCGCCTTTGAAGCCAGCTGTTCAAAAGCACTAGTAGCTAGTTCTGAGGTAGGGAAAGTTACTCATGATGACGGAATGGCCAGTTTAGAAGGCTTCGAGCTTCCATAGAGATATTGCTGAATAGTGAAGTCAATATCAATCTTTGCTGCTTGAGCATTGGCCTTGAGAGCTGAAACCTTTTGCTTTACATCACTTGCATTCAACGATGAAGGGTTTTGTGGCTGTTGCTGGTTTAGTCAATGCTGACTTGCCTCATGGCTATACACATTCTGTCGATGTAAAATTGTCTGAGCAACGCTAATGGCGGTACTGCCACCACTGCCTGATGGTTCCATTGAGGCTATTGTTGACATTAGATTGAGTGGCAAATAATGAAGCTCACTCACCATTGTCAGTGTCTCTGCATCCAGCACATGACAGTGAGCACAAGAAAGGATACACGCAGCCACAGCATTCACACTGTGGTTGCTGCTGAATACATCAGTGAATATAGGCTACAGGCACAAAGTAATACAGTGAGAACGCACCATAATCTGTTCGTGATCAGCTGCACTTGCAGCTGTAAGCTTTGAACATTTCCCACATGTCTGGGTGTCCAGTTGAGGAAAAGCAGTAGAACATCCCAAGCAACGAACCATGATTCACAATGAAACAACCATAGGCTGAAGACGAGCTAATAGGCTATTATAGCAAGAGAACTGAATAGTTACCACACTGCATTGAATTATGTGATATTGCATTTGTGAAGAGACTCGCTTCAAAAACACCGTCTCCCACAGGATACACACTTGAACATAGCAGTGTCAATGATACACTTAGTTGTGGTGTCTTTAGGAATCAGTGGGAACTTGCATGCATAGTAAAATCATATTCAATCATTTTCCAAGAGCTGATGCATCAGCTGAGGATGACAATGACAATGAGGACAATGAGGATGACGACAACGACAACATGACAAGTGGTGCGGGGAAATGGACACAGCCACACAGTATTTACTAATACGCAAATAGAGTAACATAACAAATAATATTTGTTTGGTGAAAACTAACCTGATACACATAGTCAACCGTACCTGATAATGCATTAGGGATTCTCAATGATTCACCAAGGCATAGGTAGAGGCACAGTAACAGTTCATGCATCACAATTAACTTACAAGTGTAATAAAATCATGCATCATTATGACACTATGGGCTGTGACATTTGCTGTCACAACAACTGTAGGATCACTCACTGTCTCATTGGACAAGTAGGCTATGGTAATGGGGCCACAATTCTTCATGGTGAGCTCAATGGCATGATTGTGTCCGCCCTGCTAGCATGTTCAGGGAGTATTGAAGGTTGTTGTTAAGACCGTGCACAAAGGGTAGGACTGATTCTGAGGCGCTTGGCTTCAGCTTGTGCGCTGCACCCCTTACCCGAGTATGTGCCCTTAATTTCAGAATGACGTCCGGAGAAAGTCCAAGGACGTCCGAAGTGTGGGAAAGTTTGAAAGGACTTTCCGGACGAGTGCGAGAACTTTTGGATGAGTGCAGGAAAGTTCCGGAGGAACTTCTGGAAATTACGATGAGGTTTTGTCCTGATACAGATATGTGTAATGGCTACTTAGAACTTGTCCTAAGTAGAAGCAAACCGAGGAAAGGCTGCAAGGACAAAGTCCAAAGCAGAATAGGTCCGGAGGACCACGGGAAAGTTCCGGAGGAACTTCTGGAAACTTAGAGGAATTTAGGATCAGAGGAGCGAAGGAGTGGAGCTCCGGCCTAGGAAATTCCTCCCTAGGCCTATGGTGGATGTTTAACAAGGAAGGAACTAGTTATGAAAACTTCAGTGTGAAGACTAGTGCGAGGACTAATATGATATTCAGACTGAGGAACTACAGGACATATACAAGAGTTTATATACTAAGGAAATAATGGAAAGATCAGTAAGCAAGAGTCCGAGGCTATGTATGAAGCATAAGCAAAGTTTATTAAGCACGAGTCAGAAATGAAGCATAGGTTAATGGATCAGTAAGCATACCGGTAGTAAGTATAACTGAGATGCTGAGGACAAGGAATACCGAATAGAGGAATAGGCTGTGTTAATATTATATGCACAGGAAATGAATTAAGAAGCTTATTGTATATCGGACTGGAAGCGGATCTATACATTGGATCAGATCAGATCAGATCAGATCAGAGGTCTGGACAAGAAGCGTGGATATACAGGATATGACATTAGGGTGATGGGACAAAGGATGAATGATGCAGGCTAGCTGCAGAGGTATGGAGGTCTGATGTATTGAGGTAAAGGGATCTGGATGTGGATGTGCGAATGTGGATGTGCAGAGGTGCAGGGATCCGGTGTAGAGACTCATGCCTCTCATTGCATGATATGGCAGTATTCACTAGGGAGTACATAGCACGAACTTGTAGCATCACTCTGTGTGCTATCCACAGCTATTCCTATATGAGGCGCAGCTTTCCCGCACAATGCGCAGCACGCGCGCACAACTTCCTGCGCTTTATGATGTATATGCGCGCGCTTTCCCGCGCTTCAGCGCCCTATAGCGCCAGCCATCCGGAAGCATCCATCCACTGTCCACCAAGTTCTCTAGTGCGTATATTCCTATTTCTCTTATCTGTGTATCGTTCCACCTTTATTTTTATTATGGACCCTTACTTACATATATCTTTACATACCTCACTCGGTAGTGATTTGGCTCCGCATGACAGCACTTAGGCGCCATACTTAAGTGCCAGCATTACATACTATTACCCACTTTTCACTTACTGAACTTTCTGAACCACAGAGTACCCACTTACTACCTAGCAGAGCAGAGTGTTAAGAACGTGCTCAAGGGTCGGATCCGAAGGGCTTGGCTTCAGCTCGTGCGCTGCGCCCCTTACCCGAGTACGTGCCCCTAACTTCCGAAGGCTGTCGAACGATGTCCGAAGGTTACCGGACGATGTCCGGAGGGCGTTGGGTGATGTC